GGCACCTGTTGCAGCAAGTGGAAACTACAAGGTGGACTTTAATTAGAAGCAATAGCTTGTGAATTGTCACGTGCACTATACCATAGCCAGTACACACGTTAAGGTTTCTGTAAGAGCTCAGGAAGATGGAAATTAGTGACTTTGGTTCTCTTGCTAAAAAGAAAAAAAATAATTAATTCCAACAACTGTAAATTAATTTCAACATGTTACAACATATTTTTCCTTTATTTGACATCCACTCTATTACTCGAGACTCCTCTCAACATTTCTATAACCACAATCTCGACTCATATACCATCTTATGTTCTCTACCATGTTTGAAAGCATATGAACCTTGCATGGTCGCGAAGCAATTAGAATTTGTTCCAGCTCTGCTTCACCAATTAGAATTCGTTGAAAGTCCATTCTTCTGAAAAACGCTTTCATTCATACTTTCTTTTCCACAGATCACTACACTAATAAAGAAATTCTAATTGCTTCGCGACCAGACAAGGTTCATATGCTTTTGAACATGGGAAGAAATATAGATGGTATTTGAGTCGAGATTGTGGTTGTAGAAATGTTGAGAGGAGTCTCGAGTAATAGAGTGGGCCTAAAAAGAGTATTGATGTGCAAAGGTAAAGCTGGAAAAAGATGTTGGAGGGATAAGATAAGGAGGCTCATCTAAAGTTAGAAGAAAAATAGTTCCAGCTTTCACGACCAGGCAATTATACAAAGATGTTGAGGTAAAAAGATAGTCTCTTCACATCTTTCCGATGTAGAATCTTTTCTCCACACGTTCCATCGAATTAATTTAAATTATATTAATTTTATACAATTGCTAAAACTCGACATTGTAACTTTAATTAGAGAAACAAAAATTGTTTCATGATATTTTTAACAATCTCCCGCTTGTACTAGAATTATATATTCGTATACTCTCATTATCTTTATATCTCGATATGAGCATAAAACAATAAATAATGTCATCTTTATCAAACTACATCATGTTTAGCAAACTTTGATTTATACTTAAGAAACGAGTGACTTTCACCTCGTTTGACCACATGCATGCTTTTGTTAGTACTACATAACAATGACTCCATGAAACGTAGTAATTAGTCATCTCACATAGTAGTTTTTTTATAGTTATTAATGCTCCATGACAATAACTTGGAATCCACATTCTCATATTATTTTTGCATATTTGAGTTCATGGTAACCAACATAAGACAATACACATCAACTCTATAATTTGGATTCTTATCTCAATCCTTCCGTTCGACATGTGAAAGATTACCGTTCAACTTCTCAAGAATCTTGTTTTCCAAGACATACTATGTAACGCCCGTGAACCAAAAATGTGATTTTTGGTG